CAAGCTTGGTTAATAAGAGATTTATTATACGACTGAAGTTCAAAGCGACACAATTGAGGTATCATTCGGGACCATTCGGGACCATTCGGGACAGTGCCCGGTCCAATACTTAGAGAATATTGGACTGGCAATAGAGCAGTTTGATTGGTTGATTTTAGTTATTGGCCCTCTGACTGCCCGAGTCGTGTAATAAATATATATATATTTTTTGTTTTCTTTATCTGTTTACTCTTGGGTTGTAAGAGGTAAGTCAGAGTGATTCCTCACTATGGCACTGGGCATCCTGTATTGCACATGAAAATCACATAATCAGGCAAATAGGTGTGCTCACATTCCAAGAACACAGTATTGTATTTCAATCAATGCACCAAGTCAAGGATGTGCGATGGTCTTTAGCTCCCAAACGGGCATGGTGATCCATATTTTTTTATTGCATGTGTAATGCCTCCATGGAAAATTAACCAAAACAAGTGTAGCTAAGATGTGCATTCTTTTATTCTGAGCGGTCTCAGCCATCGGCATGTGAACATGTGCTATAGTTGATGACCCAACTGACCCATGTAATGACAGCTCTGCACAAGAATTATTTACTCTAATCGAAAGGGTTTGAAGTTAGCACAAAGGGAACAAGGAATAGGTTATATCTAGAAAGATGATTAAATTCATATGTACTTAACTAAAAAAAAAAACAGTTAGTTATCCTAAAATCAAAAGGTTAAAATAGACACCTTAAATGCGTGAGAAATAGTAGTTGCAATGTGAGAGTGTAAGATTGGATTAATTTGCACGAGTCTCACACTCAATGCACCAGACTTGAGAGCTCTCTATTAAGAGTATCTTCTATGAACTTCTATGAATTGGAACATTCTTCTGACAACATAGTAAAAATCAAAGTATATATAGTTTTCAATGACTACTCTTACAATCTAATGATCCAGAGGTGCTGCATGTGGTTCAAACAGCTAAGAAACAAGATCAACCATGGACTGATTTTAGTAGAGGAAATTCAAAATGGTGGCTCTCTGAATTGGTGGCAAATCTTGATGCAAATCTGAACTATTGAGTTCAGAAGGTTTTCTTTCCTCTATGTGTAGTGGCCAGTAGGTTCTCTCTTCTTTCCTGATCTCCATGTCAACTTCCCTCTTCCCACCCACTCCCCCTTACCAAAAAAGCACCTGATCTCTATTAGCCACCTTGGGTCCTTAAGTAATTTACCTGTTCAAATAATTATTAAAAAGGGTTGGTAAATTTTAATTTCCATGTTCAATTTTAATTCCCATATTCAATATATTCAGAGTGCTCATGAAAAAGGGTAAATTCTGCAAAATTTCTCACTATCTATCTCCCAGGAAAACTTTTTGAAGGACAATCTTTATATTTGAATTAGGGAATTGGGTGATAAAGGATTATTATTGTTAGTGGTATTAATATAACTTTCAGTTTTCATCCTACATGGACATTTTCCCTTTTCCCTTGTTTGCACCTTGTTCACCTCTCAGCTAAATTGTTTCTTGTGACCTATACCTTAAATTGTCTTTTTTTTAGCCTGCAGTATGGCATTTTGCCACCACTATTGCATTTGTATAGCATGAAGGCTCCAGCACCAGAAATCTAGGGTTCTTAGCCCTTAAAAGCTTTCATGAAACAAAGTTTTACAACTTGCCTGGAGGTAAAAAATGGCTGCCTGAGAAACCCCACACTCTGCCAGTGCAGGGGCCTACCAAGTACCTCAGGTTAACTCATTTCTGTTTCTCTTTAGGTTGCAAGAAAGTGGGTGTGACAGGGTTCTGCATGGGTGGGGCTCTGTCTCTGGCGGCTGCGGCATTGATTCCTGAAGAGATTGCGGCGGCAGCTCCTTTCTATGGCATCCCCAATGCAAACCTTTGTGATTTGGCAAAAATCAAGATACCTTTGCAAGCTCATTTTGGAAGTAAGGATAATCTCGAGGGGTTCTCTTCACCAAAAGATGTGAAAGCTTTGACAGAGAAGCTGGATGCTGGAGGAGTGAAGTATGAGCTTTATATGTATGACACTGGCCATGCTTTTACCAACCCTACCAACCCAAATTACACCAAGGAAATTTGTGATTTGGCTCTAGGAAGGATGATGGATTTCATGAAAAAACACTTGGCATAAACTTTATTTTCTCTTCTTTTTAGACGAACGAAAAAGAGTAAGAAAGGTTTTTTTCCTTTTTTTAAAGATAGTGTTAGCAAAGGTTTGACTAAGTCATGTTAAACTGGACAAAAAATAAATGGGAAGATAGCCGAATGACTAAAGATTACAGCTGCCATTCTGCCCTCTCGTAATCGAGCTGTCTTTGATCTTTCATAAACATGTTATTATCCCCAGTGGGATAGATTATCATGAAACTAGATGGCACTCTTTCTTCCACTGTCTTCATTCGCTCTGATGAAGGGCCAACGCTCGAAACGTCAGCTTTAAAATTCTTTACGGTGTGTTACGGTATTTTCACCACCGATAGAAAGATACAACCCGTACAAACTCAACTACTTTATTGACTGATGTTATAATCTTACTACGGAGCGATACCAATAACCAGTACAATAACTATCCTCTTCTCTTAGGGCCTGATTACATGAACCGGGCTGGCCCTGTTAGCCGGGCTGATTTTTTTTGTTTTGGTGTTCGCCAAAGCGTGAAAACAAAAGAAATCAGCCCGGCTAACCGGGCTAGCTCGGCTCACGTAATCAGGCCCTTAGAGCCCTCTATAAAACTATAATCTCAGTGTGCTACTGCACAACTCACAGTTCTCTTAAGAGATCCTTGTAGCTTATCGATGTCAACAAAACCTTTCTTAACGTAGCCTTCCACACGGCTGACGATTCCAGTAACGGTAAGTGATTCCGCAACAACTCTCTCTAGTCCAGTTTGCAGAGTATGGCTGAACTCGACGAGATCTCGCGCGTGCAGAGCCATTTTCTGCCGCGTGCACCGCGTACAATGTGACCGAAAACTCACGCGTGCAACCCAGCATGCATGGTGATCATTGAGTAACAGTGTAAGTAAAAGACACTAAGGCTGAGACTGATCGCCTTTTGTAGCAGTTTTGCTCCAAAAATGGGAAAAACAAGTATTCAAACGTTTCGCATATCTTAGTTTTACAGCTACCGCGTGAAATGCAGCGATTCTTGCGTGCAAAATGGACGTTTTCAAAAGGAACTCGTTCGTGCACTTGCCCTACTCTGAAACTGGTCTCTAGTCCGGCTCTATAATAACACTGGCTCCTCTGGGCTCTTCACGACAGCAGTAACTCTATTGACACTCCGCGACAACACACTTTCACAATACACTGGCTCTGCTCTAAAGGAAAGGCTAATTTTAACCGATCGCGACTCCTTAATATATGTTTCAAAAAACGTTCTAGAATATTCCAGGGATCTGTAATACAACTATTTTTAGAATCATTACATCATTAGGGACTTTAAGCAGTCAGGACGGCAACGCCACGTAAGACGTCGATTAAAAAAATGAGTTTCTATTTTTTAGTTAGAATTTCGAAAATGGCGGCAGTCCGTCTAATAGGGCGCCAGACCTCAAACTCAACATAACGCATAAAAGTAGCGTTGAGTTCCAAATGTAAATTAAATTAATTTGCCGCCGCGATTTCGGTTCGCAGACGATGCAAATTTTGGTGATTTCACGCACGTTGGAATTGAGCCAAAAATAGAATGACGTACTTGTTGAATGCCCGGATGTCCAGACAAATATATAGTCTGGAAACCAGAAATAGTAACATCAAAACGAAACAAAGTTTCCGTGTCTCGTAGTTTCATGCTTTCGCAATCATCAGACGGTGGAAACCATTTATCTGTTATTTCTAAATTCAGCATGATGAAATATCAGTATCCGCCTGTTTTCAAAGATTTTGTCATCCACGTTGTCCGATCTTTAGGCAGTTCAGATCGTGCAGCATTGAGGTTTAACTGCCGGGGACTTATTCCGGGTTCGATGTTCGATGGCGACATGTTTGAGATAATCGCGTCTCTGGTGCAAGTGAATGAGTTATCATTCATGAATATGTCGCTGCTGAACAATTTCCTCTCACGTATTGGTCATTCCGAGTTGCTGAGAGAGCTGGTAAAAGTGGAAATGAGGATCTCAGTTGGTGTAATCTTGGGCGAATATCTGAAGTTTAGATCTGTCAATGGCTTCCGCCGAGGAACTAGCACGAGACCTGATAATTCAAACAACATCGTGAAGTTTCTGTTTTCGAAGAAACAGGGGATAGCAGAAGTCCGTGGGTGGCTAAGGCAACTCAGTTGTCACAATATTCGCAACTTCGAGCTGGATTTGAATAAAGTCATTCGCAGTCTGCAACTCTCCTGGCCTGTCATTACGATGGCACTGGTGATTATTGGTGAGCTGTATGCCTCTTCTTTTCGAAGTCAAAATTCAGAAGACGTTTATGTCACAGAGGAGGATTATTTCGTATATTCATTTTCCCATTCTGAGACATGCGGGTTGCTATCAGAATGGATCCTTCAGAATGGTGGTTTGGTAAGTAAACTGACTGTTCTGAGTATAAAAACAATTCTTAAAACTAATGTTTGCTTGCCGCTTTATCGGATTTTCTGACAGAAACTGAACGTTATTAACATATTCCTTCTGAAAAGAATTGCGAAATAGTGTAGGTGGATAGTCAGGCGATTGATAACCGCAACATAAGCAGGTGGTGGGAAACTGAAACGAAACATTACGCAAGTGCTATAATTATCACTGATTCATAAATCGCAAAAAGTTGAAATTTAAGGAAAGGAATGACTATGAGCTAGAGATTATAACCAGTCTATAATCTCTTGCTGTAAGCTTGTCGTAAGATTTATTTGGAGTGCTTCTTAACAAATACAATTTGCATGAAAGAACAATACTAGTACTGCTGTAAAAGAGTTGAAAACTTCCATTATGGTATGGGTAAATTAGTAATTACTCTGGGTTTTCACAGTTGATATCTTTCTGCTGTCGCGATTTCCATCCATTCCGTCTCTCAATAAGTTGTGAGCTTCTCCAAAGTGTAAGATAACTAAACGCTTCATAATCTAAAGTCTGTTGTTCGGAAGGAAACATCTCTTTGCATATTGTCGAGAAGTAAGATTTCCCTCAATAGATGTAATCAATTACAAGTCAGTATCATTAACGACTATGACTACCCTTTTAAAAACTCCTAATTTAATCAATATATATTTGATGCATGATGGTTACCAGTTATCTCTTATTTTGTTACTAGAAAGCCTATGAAGATTTTATCATAAAGCGACAAGGAGCCACTATCAGATCCATGCAGTCATCCATTGAAGAATCTCTGACAGAAATACTTCAATTGCCTTGAAATTGATTTGAAGATGCTCGTTATTATGAAACCATGTTGAACATGGTTTCCTAACCGTTCATACGGTGTAAAAAAAGAGCAAACCCCTACTCCTTTACCCTCTACTCCTTTACCCCCTACTCTTTTACCCCCTACTCCTTTACCCCTACTGTTTTACCCCCTACTCCTTTACCCCCTTCCTCCCCTCTTATAGACTGCCACCTTGCCGTGGTGGAGGGGCTTGTGCGTTTCAATGATCCTTAGAACTCAGCCGGCGGAGGCATGGGAGCCTCTGGTAGGTACAACCAAGCCGGAAAGATCAAAGGGGAGAAACCAGACCAAAAGGCAGTCAATATTCATTTATTTCGAACGTGACATTTATTTTTGTTTTCATTCTCAATTAGTGTTGGTGCTTGCACACAAAAAGTAATTGTATCCTACCATCTTCTTTATTGTATTTAACTATCTTTTGTATTTTTTTAATTAGCATCTATTTTCTATAAAAAAAGGAAAAATATGAAGTTTGTAAAAAAATGTGAAATACACTTACTAACCTGTAAAATATACCATGAATGAATGGAGATAGCAATAATGGAAACTTAGTTCTATCTAGATTACATGTTAAAATGTCATGTTTCCACTGCTCCATACAGGTGAGATGTAGCGAACAAGATCCAATTAGGACTGAAAACGAAAACGCTGGTCTCGCTGCTCTTTGTATTTTTTGGCAGGATAATCAGTGTAATTGTGTGCATGCTCAGTGTTGCTGGGAAGAGTTTCTGCCTCCACTGAATATTGTGTTCTTAAAAGGAACATGTTATCCGTTAGTGCATTTTCATAGAGAAAACACCTTTCTTTTGGGCGGAAAGTTAGATATATTCTCCATGTAATTTGGGGCTGACACCAGTAAGTAAGTAAGGTTTTTGCAGTTTTCTCTTCTTTCATAACCCAATCTTTATAACCATGGTTACGGGCTGTGGACACGTCACTGACCTAATATGGTAGCTGTTTTGAACTTGGAGGTATAAAAACCTAGTCCACTCTCGTGTCGTCCTCTGATGACCGCCAATCATCAAACACACACACTTACTAAATGACAGACAAACTTGAATTTGACTACAGAGCTGTTTTAGTTCAGATTGCTCGCGATTTGGACGAAAAACAGCAGAAACAACTCTTCTTCCTCTGCAAAGTTCCAAGACGAGTTCTAGACGTTTGGGCACTTCTTACTTCACTGGAAGACTCGGCGAAGATATCGTGGATCAATGTTTCCTTCCTGAAGAAATGTTTACACACCATTGGAAGGGAAGATCTGGTTGTCGCCCTGGCCGAGTTTGAAATGAAGCGAGAGCTGTCCATTCTTCTGAATTTCTACGTAAAGGAGAAGAATGGCTTGCACCCCTTCTACCCCTCGTCTGCGACTGTAGCGGCTTTTCACCTTGTGCGGCTGATGGAAAGGTTTCCGGGCAGAGAAGATCTGACAGGAATGATGAGAAGCTCAGACAAGAAAGCGGAAGATCTTTGGCTGCAGTTCTTGTCTGCAACTCCTCGGACCTCGAGAATGACGTGGGGCAAATTTTCCATGCTGGTGGCGATTGCCGGAGAAATAATTGCCAAGACATCTTTGGATCATTATGCAAGAAGTTCAGACGAAGCCATAATGGAAATGTGTATCACGTTGGCAGATAAGCTCTCTACCATATTGGTTGAGCTTGGATGTTGGGTAATTGAATTTAACTTAATACAATACGATTTCTAAAGCTAATTTCATTGATTCCTTGTCTGTTAGTTTTAACTGTTGCATTCAAAACCGACACAGATTCTTGCAAATTCTCGAAAGTGAAAGTGGAAGTCACGGAATTATGCAGAATTGAAATTTATTCAAAAATTATTTTGATTTTCAAGCCATAGTAGGTTTTACTGATACTCGGCTAGGGGTCAGTCTCACTTTATTATATCTAATCGCTTTAATAATATTTTTTTTTAAGTCATGGCTGTGGAGTTTCACGCTAAACAGGAGTTCCATATCAATTAATCGATTTTCGGAACATAGAAATGAACTTCACCTTCAATTTCTCTACAGGAGTCGACTATCTCTAGTAATCTCCTTTATTAATTTTTGTATCATCATCGTCATTCTAACCTCCTCACCAACCATCGTCAAATATCGAACTGATCTTGACGCAGAATAATCGAAACTTTTTCGCAAAAAGTAAGAAAAGCGTACTCACGAGTGATTCGGAGCGGGTGACTGAGAGAATTGCCTTTCTCCACCGTGATTGCGTGCCGGCGTTGGTTATAACAGCGTCTAAGTCAACATAGATAATCGAGTTAATGTGCCTCGAGGTACCATAGGCAAAGTTAATTTCTTAGGTGTAAGGTCCTTGCGATTTGATTCTCACCCGCCTACATCCGGTCAAGCTTTTCAGTTTTGTAGAAATTTACACGCTGACAAGACGATAATAAATCATTAGAAACTGCATTTATTCGATACACTTATTGCACATTCTAAGCATCCTCAAATTCAAAAAGGGCGGTCTACTGAATTCGACTCGCGCAAATCATTATCATCGATCTGATCAGGGCAGGAGCTTTGAGTTTCAAATTGGAAAAGGTGATCATTTCGCGTTATTTATTCACCTATTAAGTCCTCTGAAATTTGCATTAGTGTTATTCTGTCGTTAGATATCACATGACGGTCATAAAGTTTCCACAATTAATTCAGGCCTCCTGCCTTCGTGCCTCCATTTCTTGCTTCTTCTCTTCCCTCATTGCCTCAGTCCTTGCCCTTCAGTTTATTTCATTTGAGCTTAAAGAAATACTCTCAAGAATTGCTCGTCAGGATTTGTTGCAGGAGCTCAAAAAAGTAAAGTTGCGAATCTCAATTGGTTTCATTTTAGAAGATTACCTGAAGTTCAGATCCGTCGGTGGCTTCCTCCAGGACACTATAATGAAACCTGCTGAGAGTCACACCTATATCGTGAATCTTCTACTTACTACTAAAGCGGAAAATCGCCACCTGATAACACAAGTTCTTCGAAAGTTTAAGCTACTTTGTCCTCATCGAAAATTTCTGAAGACATTTACAAATGTCGCTCTTCTTGATTCCCAACTATCGTGGCCGATGATTACCTCATTTTTAGTGATAATTGGTGAGCTGTCTGCTTCCTTCACTCTCTATTCAAGAAGTTTCGAGGAAGGTTCTTATGTGTACTGGTTTTCCAAGACGAAGGCAAGCGAGTTGCTGTCAGATTGGATGTTTGAAAACGGGGGTTTGGTAAGTAAACCTCAGTAATCTAGATACGCTTATGCAACAAATAAGTAGCTCCTTGAAACATTAACTTGTCTACCACGAAGTAAGATGGCCTGATCAGTCAAAAAATTTTACATTTTCACATCTGCAAAGCATTATGGCAGATCTTAATTGCGGTGGTTGTGAATCAAAGATTTCACTAGCTTTTCTTTGTGTACCAGATGCAATACTAGACCAAGGAGAGACCTTGCGTCAATGTTATGATCACAACTCGAATTCAATGTGCACAAATTGCAATTCACCAAAATTGGTATTAAATATGGAAAAAAAATAGGGAAGTTTTAATAAGCGAGTTTTGACTATCATTTTTCGTCCTCTGTTCAACATTTACCCGTTTTCAAGGACGAACATTTGAGTACACCGTGATTTTGTAAAGTCGAACGTTTATTCCGTCATGCTCCAAGACACCAATAATTATTTAGGCTTTCTATCCTACTGGAAATTGTGTTCGATAATCTTCGAGTTAGAAACTTCCACAAATTGCAACAGAACTTTAAAAACGCATGTTAAAAACGTTTCTTCGAGAAACATTTAGTTTTGCGTAAAGAGAAACCCATGCAAATGCTCTCTGTGAGTTAATATGATTTTTGCACCTTGCGATGATTCTAGAAGACCGTTCAAGCACAATTAAAATTCCACTGATTAATCTCTAAACTCTAGATATACGGAGGTCATCTGCATGAAAAAATTAATTTCTGCATAAAATGTGAATGAGGTATTCTTAAAAGCTTTCAAAGCAGTCAAACGTACTTCTAAGCAAAACTTTTCGATAGCTTGCTCCTCTCTTTGAGTTAGAGAATTTTAGGTTTTTTTCTTTGTTAAATGTCACCCAAAAACAACATCAATTAACACTCAAATATCTTCTCTTTGTTGGCCAGAAAATGTATAGAGAGTTCATCAAAGAAAAACAACGGGCTGCCAACAGGAAATCCGTGCCATCTTCCCTCAGAGAATCTCTGAAAGAAAATATTAACCTGCTTGGAATTCGCGTGGGTGAACCATCAAGAAATTAAGTTGATAATGCTGTTGACTTCTTTATCGTGTTAAAAAACATTTCGTGATTGTTGATATGATCATAGGGTACCCCCTCTTATGGACTGCCACCTTGCCGTGGTGGAGGGGCTTGTGCGTTTCAATGATCCTGAGAACTCAGCCGGCGGAGGCCTGTGAGCCTCTGGTAGGTACAACCAAGCCGGAAAGATCAAAGGGGAGAAACCAGACTAAAAGGCAGTCAAACTTCTCACTCTACATCAAGTTATATCTTTTAAAAACAACGTCCCTTTTTTCAGTGAAAAAAAAAATAAAAAAAGATGTAATGTCTATAAAAATGTGAAATAATCCTACAAACGTGAAAATATGTGAAAATCAAATGAATTAAAGTGATAATAAAGAAAGATCACCTCAAACGTATGCTAATCCCTTGAAGTTTTTTAAAGTTTCGAACATCATCGTACGACGACCCAATGGTGGTGTTAAATATTTCTAAAGTATTGCCCAAGAATCCTTAAGAAATGTCTTGATGAATTCTCATGTTCTCGACCTGAACTCTTTCTTGGAACTGTAGGAATGGTTATGAAATCCATCATGGCGAAAAGGAAGTAAAACAGAAATATGAAGAAAGAAGGGGGAAGGGAAGAAAACATCCTCAAAAATTCTTAAACAAATTAAACTACGATCATGGCCATGCTGAGTTTTCGATTATGATTGTTGGCTTTCTACTCGAAGTTATGCCTCTTTAATTCTATCGTATTCTTCAGAAAAAGCTTCCCTTCCTTGCCCTTTTTCTTCCCTCTTGATTAATCAAAAAAAAAATTTAGGGAGCTCTGAAACTGAAGAACATAATTTTTTATTTCAAATACATTGCCAAACGAAAGTTGATAGGCTGATTAATAATGAATCATATGAGGTCTGCGTATTTTTCTTAAAGTCACGAGCACATCACGCTTAATTTAAGGGTGTTTAAGATCAGAGGATATAGAATTTCCATGTAAGGAAATGATCTCAGCCTGTTATACAATGTTAGGCATTTCTTTTGTTAGTATTAGCAAGTTTCCCAGGGAAACTAATAACTAGTTAGCTCAGAATAATGCCTAATATGGTATTACTACGTCAGTTTCTGGTATAAATAGGACGTCTCATCTCTTTCTCTTCAGCCGGCATATTCATCTTCCTCGGGATAAGACCTTTTAAGCAAAAACTGATATTTTACATGTCTACTTTAATATCACTCATGAATCAAGACTTGAGGCTATTGTATAGAATTGAACTTGTTGAGATTTCTCAACATCTGACTGGAAAGCAATTCATAAGGCTCTTAAAGTTTTGCAAAGATTACATTCCGGAGAGTGATTCGAGTGGCTTCTCCATACCAGATGAAATTTTTGGGTGCTTGGAGGAAAAGGGAGTTATTTCGTACGAGAAAGTCAGCTTTCTGACGAAATTCGCCAACGCGATAGGAAGGAGAGATCTCGGCGCCAAACTTACCAGATTTGAAATAACAAGAGAGCTGATGATCTACGCTTTGAACAGGCAAGGGTTAGAAGCTACTATGATTTCGTCGACCACAAGTCTGGGTCATCATTTAGCCAAAATGATGGATGTGGTTCAAGATGGAGTTGATGCTCCAATCCAAGGATTGTTCAGGTTCCTCTTTATGCCTGGACGAAATGTTTCCGACGTTCTGGACGTAATCATCGGTGAAGTACTACCTGGCTCAGATACATCCAAAAGCTGGAACAACCTGGCCTTGCGCTTCGTCACTGCGGCGGAAATTGTCTGGCTGGTCATCAGAGAGAACCAAGAGAAAGAAAATGGTATAAAGAATGCCTTACAGGTCGCCAAAAAGCTGGCCAGTCATCTATGGTCTAAGATGGACAAATTTGAGATCTGGGTGAGTGGAATTTAACGTTAATTCCTCAAATATTCTTTTCTTTTTAGTCTATGTAATTAAACTATTTTTAGTAGCTTACAAACTTTAATGTGAAATCGAAAGCTAAACTGGATCCGCTGTTGTCAGTATGACGAAATGTCATGTGTTCGATGTCAGCCAATCAGCTGTCAAGGAAAGTTAAACAGTGCGTGTGCATAAGTTTTGTAACTGAATAAATGAGGTTTGCGTTGCATTGCGTTTGCGTTGCCGAATCTTCTCGCGATACTTACAGCCAACATTTTGTGAAACCAACAGAAAGAGACCATATAAAAGAAATTTCTATAAAATGGTTTGACCAGATAAAATCAACGTTTCTCTTCAGCATTCACTTAGATTATTTTAAAAGAAACGTACACACGCAACGCAGTTCAAATTCTATGAGCATATCTTAATTTGTATGTTAATTCTTATCAATGCGAGAATGTTCTCCAGTTAAGGAACCTCTTAGGAACCTCGCCAATCTCGCGATTTCTAAGTTTTTATCAGTGATTTTTACTTGCGCTGAATTTAACGCGTTCTGAAGCTATGGAATTGCATTGCATACAGGGTGACTTGCAAAGACGTGTGCATGGCTTGTTGGTTCGGTACTTGAAATCACCAGAGCGAGAAATGTAATTGTCTACTGGTAAAAACATCTGCGTATTTTTAATCATTTGAGGGCTTTCCGGAGCTGGCGCTCGGGTTCATAAAAGGGACACCGCAAATAATTTTAATTTCAGTCAGCGTTTAGAGGGAGAGTAATAAAACAATATTTTTGTGGCCTGGAGGTTCTTCAACAGTTTGTCAGTGTTGCGAGTTTATAAAACCAAATAAGTAAGTTGGACACGAGCGTTGTGAGCTGTATTCGAACGATTTCTCTTCATAACGAATTTTTTCCAAGACTGCAGAGTACCATATGTTGCCTTCGTTCGACTCACTTTGGGAGAAGTTTTGCTCATTTGTCATGGAACGACACCATGGATACTTTCGCGCGTCAGTTCCTGAACCAGTGCCTGACTTTCCATGGCAGTTAATGTTAGGCTTGATTGAGAAATTGAAGAATACCTTCTTCACTGAAAAATGAGGATAAGTATCATCCAGTTTAACGTAGTCATTGGTTTAATTTAGCAAATATTGAAGGGACAAAAAATCTAAGTAGTCAAGAAAAGAGTAGATATAGTGAACTGAAAGAGAGAAGTAGCTAATTCATTTTTCTCGCTATCTCAAATATTCACGCGTCGTGAACTTGAACAGAATTTTTTTCAAAGGATCTACAATTTACCCATTGGTCTTGGTCTTGGTCTGGGTCTGGGTCTGAGTCTGAGTCTGGTATGCATGTGAGCAGTACAAATTTGCATATTGATCATTTTTATGATTTTATCCCCAGGTTCGCTGAGTCGAGAACCGTTTGAACATACAACAAACAAGGAAGTGATGTCTCAATTTTGGACACCAACTTCCAACTAACAGACATGTGGTTACTTCTCGAGAACCAGTTGGCAAACTTATTGCAACAAAAGTTGCAATACAATCGTACCATACAATCGTAGCTCATGCTACACTCTAAAATGCTTGACTGTATTCAATGCTTTGAATAAAGCACAAACTGATATATATATCTCAGGATTTGTTCCTGAGGAAGATGAATATGGCGGCTCATTTGTGTTACAATACCGGCTCATGTTACCGCATTTGAGCACAAGGTAAGTCTTATATACATGCAATAAACTGGTGCTGGTTTCCATGCTCAATACCAATCAGACAAAAAAGACCAAAATGACCTAAAAGACCAATAGGGAAAGACCCAAAAATGATAAAAAAAGAAGTTATGTGGACATTTTTAGCAGTAGATATAAATTAGGCTTTAGAATTTCGCAGATCAAGCATAGATGCTTAACTCTCAAATGATATATAGTTATAGTCTAGTGGGAGTGTAGACTCAATGCTTTTATAGGTCTTTAAACAATTAGTGGTAGAACCTTGTTAAGAGAATTTTTATAGCTTTTTCGAAGAAGCTAATGCGTTCTCTTTTTTTAAGTCCCATGTAGAATAAACTTATGTTTGAAGCTTTTGTCTCGTAGATAACTTCAAAGGTAATCAGGTATTTTTTGTGTGTGGTGTTTTGGCATTCGGTAAATACAGTTGAATTTTCTTCGATACTCTCTGTCGCGATGATAGTTTGGTAAAAGTTGTTCCATCCGACTAAAATACCTACAAATAAAAGGTTATAAACCGACAAAAAATTTTTTTGCGATCACCTCAAATCATCATGTCACATTTTGCCGGCCCGCTTTAGACGTCTCAGGGACACTTGTAGGAACATAAGGAATTATAGGACTGGAGTAGATTCTGTAATTCGAAGCAGTATTTCTGAATTGGGCATTCCGCGTAGTTCAGGATGGAGTAATGTCGTCCATAATTTCCTGATCCTCCAAACCTGTTCGTTGAAGGCAAAGGTTGATCCTGGTGATCTCATATGCAATGTCTACAGTGGCGCTGAGTTGATTGATTTTATTATTGTCTCGAGGTAAGGTCCTGGGCTTATTATCACTCTCATGATTATCATGTTATCATCATTACCACATCCGGCGGACGACACCTTTAGGCCCAGTTATCTTTTAAGCTGCGAAAACAGGTTTCTTAGGGTACCTTACACAATGCATCTAGCGGTTAAATATCACAGCACCGAAGGATTCAGCGCTCGAAGGAGAGTATTTTTTGTACAATGTACACTGACGTGTCCACAACGAAAATTTTGTCATCATCATCATCATCATCAATATTACTATCATTATCATTGTTATTATTTGGTGTTATGTTTTGTATATTGTTATGTTTTGTTTCCTGAGAAATTTTTCGCATAGATTTTCGTTTGAAGTTTCTACCGTGGTCACATAAGCCGTTGACGGAGAAACTGGAATTTACTACTTTCGTCTCTGTGGCCCTTGGGGCGTTCCACATTACACTTGCTGCCACTGATGTCTTAGTATCAGACCATTTCCAGAGGAGCCCATCCATTGTGCTTTGGTTCTGCAGTATTTGCTCAATTTAAGCAAATCGGTTTCTGCATCAGTCACTCTTTCCATGCATTCAAGTGGCTGCATGATCTAGCAGGCGTCGGTTCTCCAGCAAGCCACCCCATATGGTAGCCGTCAAAGAAAACTGGGTCTGGTTTTGCGTCCTCGCCCTTCAAGCACTGAAAGGAACCGCTCAAGGCAGAGTATCTCAAAACTTTAATGGAAAGAACTGATATCGACGATTTCGCATTATTGTCTAATCTAGAATTGTTTCATTGAGGCATTACAGCTTTCTTAGATTTTCGCAGTTGTTCCCTGCTCGAGTAGAATAAGAAAGTTTTAACTATCGGTTCATTATCATTTTCATCGAAAAGGGTAATTATCAGTTAAGGTGGGCGCATTCAGTAGAAATTGCAATTTTGAGATTCAGTATTGTACTGCGGCAATGCCAAAATCATGAAGGAATTCTTCATTGCTTTCTTAAGATCAGCTAGTATGCCTTTAGACCAAGTTCTGCCTCTGAAATACTTTGTTTTAGTAAATAAGCTTCGGTTAATGCTCTTGCAAGGATTACACTTTTATATACTGGCATTAATTTATCTGCGTAAGTGATGTTACTGTGTTGGAAACCCTAAAACCCCAAGGGAAGCACCACTGTCTTGGTCGGGGGTACACGTTCCCCACTTTTCTCCAGCCGCTGCATGGTTTTTAGGAGTTTTCGTGTCCGGCTCTGGGCATTTGTCCCTTTTCTTTAGCGCAGTCGATATATGTACATACAATGAAGCTATATAATTTATTGTTTTTTCTCTACCATATGTTTTGTCCACTTCATTAAATTTGTTGATGTAAGTTTGAAGTTTATTTCCAAGTAAATATCAGGTGGTTATTACTAGGCTGGCTTGCAAATAGCGAAGAGCTAGTCGCGGCAAGCCAGACAATTGAAAAGTAATTTTACACAATTTTATATAATGATATTCACATACAATTACAACATGACAGAAGAAAGAGGAGAACTACAGACTAAAGATACTAGAGACTAAATTAAACATAATTACAGTTAGAAATGAACGTTTCATCAAGTATTAATTAAAGTATCTATTTCGTCTTAGGAGTTGACTACAGACTAAACATAATTACATTTAGAAACTCACCTTTCATCAAGTATTAATTAAGTATCTATTTCGCCTTAGGAGTCGACTACAGACTAAAACATAATTACAGTTAGAAATTAACCTTTCATCAAGTATTAATTAAGTATCTATTTCGCCTTAGGAGTCGACTACAGACTAAACATAATTACAGTTAGAAGTTAACCTTCCATCTTATTAATTAGAATATCGATTTCAACATAGGAGTTTTCAGTTTCTAGAATTTCGATTAATTTTGTTCTAATGGATTTTTTAAAAGAGTTCTTGGATAAGTTTTTAAGACTAGTTGGTATATCATTCCAGATTTTAACGCCAACACGTGAAAAAGCCTTACTTTGAACATTAAGCGCAGATCTTTTTAGTGTAAAAATGCTCAGACGTTGATGAACGTGTGAAGAGTGAACGCTGGATAGAAGCTAGATAAAAAGCTGAAACTAGATAAAAAGCATCCTTTATTTCATCGGTAAAAGGGAATAAGACATTTAAAGAGTCTAAAAGTGTAAAATAAAACCTACGACCATGTAAATATGTTTAAAAAACCAGTGTAAATAGCGATAAGAAAGAGTTTATTTCAATGTTTTCTGTTAAAGCTTTTAAGCTGTAGCGGAATACCGAACAAGTGCAGCGACCAGGCGCAGCAATACATTGATTAAAGCGGTAGCACTTCTTTTCCCATAAACTCCCTATTCCTCTTGGGTAAAGAAGTTCACTTATCATCCGATAATCATATTTTTACTAAAATTTATAACGATGAGTTAAATTTTTTTATGTTCTCGAATGCGTCTATTGCTTAGAATTTGAAATAATGTCATTAGAAAAAAAGATGAAGGGGGATGGATGGAAATAATAGAATCGTAGGTTTTAAGCCGAAAAAAACATGATCATGACATGAGCCGGTTTAGTTGAATCTCTTGGTCACTGATGTTTTTCCCTCGTAAAGTGCCTATGACATTAATTTTTTTTTCTCGGTTTTTCTTAACTTGATGTATATAAAAAAACGAATTTAACCTTTAATCCGGGCGGAAATGTCTTCAAACACCTGTTTTTTAGTTCAAAACACGCGTTATCTACGAACGAAATTGTCTCCTCCTCCGCGCAGCCAAAACGTCACGTGATTTTCTTTCGTGACGTCAAGTTGTCTACAGCCATCGAAACCAACATGGATGACAATGCGGCAAAAAGAGTGATTCTATAATCTATAGAATCAGCAGCGTGTCACTCGCTCAAATGAATGAATGACTCGCCTCTCACCTCCACACGTTCCGCAACTTGGTGTTTTGTGTACACAAAATTGCGTCACGAGGGCCGACCCCGAGACAATTTTCACTACAATATAGTACTTTTTAGAGTGCAAAAATTCAGGTTTGAAAACGTTTACGCTGGATTGAAGGTTAGAATCGTTTTTTAAATGCATCAAGCTAATAAAAACCGAGAAAAAAAACTCATGTCATAGGCACTTTAAGCCAAAAAGTCTTGATCTCATTCTTTCAGAATTATCCACCTCACGAGCTAGTTCCCCTTGCTCCTCCCCGCCACAATTTTTTCTGATTCCTAAGACATACATGCGAGGTTTATTCAATTACCTTGTTTTGTGACGAGCACAAAATTTACCCCAGACGTAGAATCCATATTTCAGTAAAAAAATACAAAATGTAATTGAACTAAGTGAAGGGAACTGAAAACGAGCTTCACAGAGATAGAGAATACCTAGGAATGCCTAATATGGCTTTATTACGTCAGTTAAATTCTGGCATAAATACGTCGCCTTAGCGTTTTTATCCGCCATATTGATCTTTCAATGAACAAGACGTATGGTACAAATATTTCGTGATTTTTGTAGGTATACATTATTATTCCCCATGTTAGAGGATTTAAAGCGTCGGTACCGAGTTGTCCTCCTCAAAATATCTCTAGCTCTGACCGAAGAGGAGAGAAAACAACTTTTATTTTACGGGAAAGACTATTTTCCGAAAAGCTTTGCGAGTCCTCTCCCCGCGGTCGTTGAAATATTTGACCGCTTGGAAGACGCAGAAGCTATTTCATTGTGGAAACTCGACATCCTGACGGAGTTTGCCGTCGCAATCAACAGGCCAGATCTTGTCAATGAGCTGGCTGGATTTGAATTGACAAGAGAACTGGTGATGCGCGCCTTAAAATGGCATGGTTCCCAGCCGTCTATGAACTCGTCGACTGAAAGTGTGGGACTTCATCTGGCGGAAATGGTGGATCATGTCCAAGATCGAGTTGATTTTCCAACCCAAGGACTCATCAAGTTCCTCCTTACATCCCAAACAAAAGCCTCTGATGTTTTGGACGTGGTCTGTCGGGAAGCGTTGCCTGATGACGATGTGACCAAGCCGAATAGCTTAGCCTTGCTCGTCGCCATTGCAAGCGAGATTGTCTTGCTTGTGTTTGATGAAAACCAACAAGAGAATCATCGAAAGAAGTATGCAGTGGCCGTTGCCATCGAGCTAGCTGACCATTTATTGACTAAGGTGGCCAACTTTGGCAGCTGGGTGAGTGGATTTCATGTTCGGTGTTGTTCGCTGTTTTTGTCTTCGTTATTGAATTATTTGAGTAAAATGCAGGCGTACAAGTGAAATCGAAAGCAGAAGTGAATCCGTTGATGACAATTTTTATTAAACAAACCGAGCTTTGAGGAGACATTCAACTAGTATTGTTGGATGTAGTGCCGAACGTCTGTTATCTCGCAGCACTAACTGAATAGAAACATACAAAATCGTTACTCATCGATTATTTTTCATTAAACGTTTGGGTGATTTTAACTAGGCACTGTTTATAATTATGCGAGGTTCGTTTCAAGTCGTCCTAACAAAACGGGAGTAGCACGGATTTCTGTTTTAAAACTTTAAAAGAACATTGTGATTTCTTTTTGCTTTGTTGGCGAGAAACGAGATTCCTTACCTGCGCCGATTTTCATTGGCTTTGAAGCTTTGGGGTAACAAAGTGATTCATGAAGGAGTAAGAGAATTTTGGCTTGTTTTCAGTCTCGATTGAAGAAATCATGATAGGGAGTAATTTTTTATCGTCTACTCCGAAATATCTAACTGTTAGAGTACCCACCGTGCTCTAAATTAAGCTATCGTCAACACATACCCATCACATCGTATCTAAATTTGCTTACTATGAAAGTGATACCTGAGAATTTGAACTAATGTTAGATGCTTTTTCTAACACTTAGTGGATACTTTTTTATTTCTTGTTCTGATTTCGTTACATTTTCTACTATGGGGACTAAGTCAACTCTCTCAATTTTCTGGTTGAAAATGCTGTGTAAGAATGTGTTGTGTAAGCTTTTAAGGGCGACACTGCAGGTGACACTACTAGGCTGTCAATCTTCTTGCATCGTCATCGTTCTATCTCAACTAGTGAATCAAGTTAAGTTACGTGCAACAGTTCCTGCATACTAAGTATGTGCCTTCGGGTTTATGTTTTACAAAATTGTTTAATACCTTAAATTTCTTACGTTTCCATTTTAATTCTGATAAAACAAAAAACAAGATTGGCAATATAAAAATTATAATTAACTTATTGGCAGAATTAGAATCATACTTGGAAGATATCTGAAGAGGAAGTAGCCTTAGGGAGGCTGTTACATAACAGAATAAACAAAATTTGGAATAGAAAGGTTGTACACAAGTACCGCCCTTAAAAAGACTAGGTGTTATTCACACAACTCAGTTGATTATAGATTCATTGTGGAAGATAAAAAGTAAAAATTGTTTACCCTTAAGGTCACCTTAAAGAAAGATGTGTTGAAGGTGTTAAATTAAAATTTACAAAGATGAACTATTTTCTCTCAAAAGGAAAAGATAACAATTACTCCACTTGCAAAGTAAGACTGCCGTTGAAATAGAAAACTATCAACTTCTTAATTTTTTAACTGAATGGCTCTTGCTAAGATATGTTATTTTCATTCATTTTCTCAACACTTAAATAATTCAAATAAGTCTAAAAGCACACTTAATGAAAATTCTTGTTGGATTTCAATTTTGTCTTTTAACACTAAGAGTGACGTTAAAATGATTTGATTGCCAGAAATAACCCTTTTCCCGTTTTTCTGCCTTTTTTTTTATAGTGGATAGGACATCCTAATCAGGGGACAGTTTTGGTGTTCACATTTACAGTAAACTAGATATCAAATCTCTCTGCCTGCAGTCACTCTGCCTTAACATTGACAAGTATTATAGCAGAAAGGTGCCATGATACTTGTCAATGTTAAGGCTTAGTTTTCAAAATTCTTCCCTAGTCTGTTCGTAAGTGGAAAGCAAAGGACTGAATTAGAAAGCATTACGTAGTATTATTTCTCCTCTTTTTAGGAGGATGTCTGCCATTTTGTCGGCAAACAATGTGGTTGTCATTTCAATGAGGTTCTTCTGGAACCAACCCCTGAAGGTCAAGATGAACTCCAAGAAAATGCTATGGAGATAGAATGAAGGGAACAAATTCTTCCCAATGGATGAAGGAATGACTGGTTAAGAGTTTCTAAACCTAGATACTCTTATCAAGGAACTAGCAGTAATGACTCATTACTGCGCTTCCCCTCTTAAGGACTGCCACCTTGCTGTGGTGGAGGGGCTTGTGTGTTTCTATGATCCTGAGAACTAAGCCGGGGGAGGCATGTGAGCCTCTGGTAGGTACAACCAAGCCGGAAAGATCAACGGGGAGAAACCAGACCAAAAGGCAGTCAACATTCTAATTAAACACTCCATCATTTTGAACGCGTTATGCTCAGGAAGCATATCTTCCAGAAGATGCTTCATGTGGTCTTTGTGAAGGCGACAATGCAACAGTAAGATGCCAAGACTGTGGGCATAGACAGTTTTTTTGTAGACCATGTGCCATTGCTCTACACCAAGACCGAAATATCTTTCATTCATTAGAAGTCCTTGAGGTATGTATCCCACCAATGACCAAAAAAACAGACTTTTGTAAGTATGTGAAACACAAAATATTTATGCTTTTATTTTTCAAAATTTAGAATGGTATGTTTATTCCGCTATTCCTGGACAAGAAGCCTTTACGTGTCCATGGACACTGCTGTACAACCACAGAAGATATTAAAGAGATCATATGCTTTGATCATCGTTGTGAGCAATACTTCCTAGCCATATTATGAGGACTGCTTTTGCTTTCGTATTTTGTAGAAGAATGCCTGGAAAGGGCTTGTAAGTTGCTTTTTTGGCTGATTTCTGGAAACTGTATAAATCTTTGTTTTTATAAGTTGAAATAACTTTGAAATAAGCTTGGTTGGTGCCTGGCTAAAAGGTCACTTCTGTAATTTAAAGTATATCATTTTTGGAGGTTTTCCAATGACATGAAAAACTCAACTTTCAAGTATTGTCTATTCTGCAGAGATTTTAATCATTGTGTTCTTTTCTACTGCACATCAAGTCAAATTATGGCCACTGTACAGGCATTTTTGTATTTTGAATATCAACCTTTTGGAATCAATCAGTAAGTTATTTTGTATAATTTCATATGCAAACTTCCAATCAAACATAAAATAATCGTACAGTCCAACATCATGATATATGAGTTTATTATAATTTCACTTTTTGGATGCATTTGCATTTTCAGGTATTCAACATTTGAAACATGTTGCATTTTGTCAGTGTGAAAAGCCAGCTATCCCATTGCTTCACTTGCAACTCTGGCCAGGTAATCCAGAAAAGCCTACATGTGCCTTTCATCTTTCCCTCATGGAGCTTTTTCAGAGGCTTTACATCCACTGTAAGGTCTCCTTGAAAGAAATAACAGAAATATTTCAACTTTTTCTTCTGACATTTCATCCCAACTTAGTAAGTTCAGAGTTTCACTTGATTCTACCAAATTTGAATATGCAAGTTGGTGCCACTGGCCTTGAAATCCTTGAAATACCCCTGGTATTTTACATGAAAATTGAGAAAAACAATCCAACATCTTGAAACTCCTTGAATCCTGATGTTGGCTTTTTCAGCTTTTCTGATAACAATCAAGGCTTGACATTGATTGCAGGGTGGGAGAATCGAGAATTTTAAAATTATTATTGAAAACACAAAATTATCTTGTATAATTGAACAGAATGTTTGTTTTGCCACTGTTAAAATTATTCGTGAAATATTCTAGAGATCGGCTTACATAAAATCATACTTTTTCAAAATCGACATTTTGTTTTGAAAAATGCTTAAAGAGTCCTTGAATTTTGCACTAAAATGTACAAGTAGCATGAACCCTGAATATGCAACTCATGTTGACTTTATAATTTTTTAATTGTCTTTTATTGTCTTTAATTTTCTAGGGACTTTTCTTTAAGCTTCCATCGTGAATACAGGTACATTTTTCAGATATTATTAAATTTCTCAATTAGATTTTCAATATATAAACTTTGAAGTGGTTTTGTGCAAAGTCTGTGTGACAATTAATTTCTGAGCTTAAATGTTTTCTTACTACATAGGTATTTCAAGTATCAAACTACCTATCTTGTAAAACAGTTCCCCCAGCTTTATAATGGTGCTACTTGTCCATTAAGCCCAAAGGTATAGCCTAAATATTTCTGATAGTTAATTTGTATATGCTACAAATATAGCTTATAAAGTTTGAATACAAAACAGCTCTGAAAAAACCCAGCTTTTGGATTTAGATTGAACATTTGCTATTTCTTTATTCAGAGCCCCATATCATCCTATGGCCATATCTGGTTAACAATTTTGACATAAATTATGATGATCAAATACTGTAAAACCTTATTAACAGCTGGTATCCAAAAGTTAGTGATAAGCTAGCATTGCATACTCAAATTCAGAATTATTCTGTAAGATTCTCTCTAATCCATAAGGAGACAGAAGTATAATTACGTTCCAGCTTAAAAAGGTAATTAGAGAATAAACTACAATTCAAATTACCTTTTGGTATCTATGAATTAATATTACCCAAATCATGTCATTTGCAGGAAGAAGGAGTGCTGATTCAATGCATGGATGCATGCTTTGGACTCAGCAGGAAAAAGGCACAGGGAAAGCAATTATCAGAAGCAAACCATAACAATGTCCTCTATGCTGATCAAGATGATATGGACGATTTTGTGGAACAGTGCCATGGTGACTGCCAGAGTAGTGAGCCGGTAATATGGGAATCAAATATTAACTATTCTCACACTGGTTTTTCACTGAGACTTGAGACTAATTATTTTTGATGATGTGATAATGATGGTACACTTGACAGAATTCATTACTATAGAAACTCAGGGTTTACTGGATGGATAATGGAAAGGATTTGTGATGGGATATTTTATGTTAGGAACCTCGTAAACAAAGCAAAATTCAGTAGCTCTGTTGAATGAATGTTTAGTGATCGTGTTGTTTATTAGCACTGTGAGTATTACAATAATTTTTTTTCTTGTTTCATGCTAAATGTTTGCAGGAATGCAGCAGATTTCGTGCAGGAGAAGTTTTACCTGCCTTGCACTCCAAAGGAAAAAAACCAACTTTTTGATGAAAAGGGTGTGTTTTGGGTCTGTTTGCCATCATGACTGCCCTTTATCTTTTCACAGTATTAAGTATGGTGAAAGGTATAGTTTACAAGGGGTGGATTTATTGGAGAAAATGGTGATTGTTGGAACTCTATTTGGTCATGATTTGAGTAAAATTTTTTAGTGCAGTCAGACATTTCTAAGCCATTCATTTGTCATACAGACAGGAAACCAGAATCAGATGCCTAGCCCATTTAAAATCACTAGATATGCCTCTTCATACAGTAAAAGGATATTTCCCAATAAAATTGAGTGAATTTGTGTAACTAAATTGTGTATCTATGGAATTCACCTTCTCATGATTGAATTGTTTCAATGCTATTGTTACTGACTTGTGGTCAGCATTTTGACTTGTAGCTGGTGTATTGTATTTGGAAGGGAAACACCTTGTGCTGTTGTTCATTCATTTCACTGTTGTTCATTGATATTGAATTGTTTATTTTTTATTGCAGAATTTCTTACTCAGTGTAGGAGTTGAAAAAGATATGCCAGCTAGTGAACACAAAACCCCTTCTCAAGGTGGTTGTAATGTACGATATTGCTTGTATTCTGCCAACACATCTGAAGGTATAGTGTTTTAAAGTATGCACAAATATGCGTATGTTTTACCATTAAATTCATTAATTTAACTGTTAATGTGGTAAGTGATTCTTGGCTACAGTGTATATCAACCATTATTAAGAGACCTACTATTAGGAGAGCTATAGATTTGAGACCGAGTTCCCTATTGCTTATGTTAATTGGAGACCATTATTCTTGTTTGGGCATTAACAAATGTGCTAAAAAAATTCTGAATTAGTATAGACTGTGCATAGGAGTTTAGCGTGAGTTTAGTATGTCTGTGCATAGGAGTTTAGTATGTCTGCAAAGGAGTTTAGTATGTTCTTTTATCTCAGTCTTTCTTTTTCTGCAGTCATGAGTCAATATGATAAGTAAAAGAAAGAATACCATTTCTTGTTAGTTGTCCTTATTTTTTGCTTTTTTATGTTTTTTCAAAAAAAATTCAAGAAAATTTCCAAACATTTGGCCATTACTAGAAAAGTTCAACTTTTCAATCCCTATATTCCATTGTTTTGGACATAAAGCATCCTGTCAGGTAATAAGTCAAATAAAATGTTCTGGTTTGAATGGTTGGCATTCCGCTTGAAATACGTTTGTCAAATACTGCTACATAATATTTTTGTGCTTTTTGGAAGAGTTCTTCTCATACTGGGAAAGGACTTGTTCTTGTTGTCATGCTTGTTCAAATTCAAACCACAGGCTCTTTCTGAAATGCTACTCTATGGAAATGATATGGTGTAATCATCTTTAATTTTCCTAAATACAGTATTCTCCTAGAGGACAAAAGGAGTGGGGCTTACTGATGGAGAAGGGACAGAGGGGCTGTGGTCCTTTTTAAGGGATTTCTCGAGAATAACTAAAGAAATGGGCCCTGAAAAGAGAAATGACACGCTGACTGACGGTCTTATTCATTATGGCTATCTTCTTAGAAAGAAATATGGTAAACAAATTATGTCTTTTATTTCTTGATTTAACACACTAAAATGGAGCTAGACAGCACCACAATACCTCCATACAATGTACATAATGGTAGTCACAAGACATTGCAATTTAACAATGTTATTAATGAGAAAGGATTATGTATGGAACAGTTAAGCTGAAAGAAGATAACTTTTTTGAAACACAAAAGAAAGACATTTGCAACTCAATCCAAGTATAAATTGTCTTGTAAGAACTAGAAATGTATTCTGCTTGAGTATTTTATTTACCCAATACCATAATTTATAATTTGCTATTGTTTGTATAATTTCTTATGGCATATCTTTATGTTTATATTTTCAGGTCCTGCTTTGAAAACCAAGCTTCTCAGAGCAATGGATTTACACCAAATCACTTCTGACGACCTTGATGAAGCTATGAAATCACTTCCATGTAAGAATTGTAAATGATACTAAATTGTAAATCAAAGTTCTTTTATTACCTGTGCATTTAGTTCTGTAATCATGACAACTCTTCCCACAAAGATCAGTGTTGTACACAAACCTGATCAGAGAAGCCATAGATATGGGAATGGATATACATTAAATAGCTTTGTTCAATAATTATTTTTTATTTTTACAGTCAAGTGTGAACTATCATTGAGGAGTGGATTGCTGTAGAGAATGAACAGGATGACTCAAAAGGTAAATTACAAGCAACTACACATTCAATGCAACTCCAACTACTATGCATACCACTAAAACTGCTTAATATACAATTATTCTTTACATCACATGTACTCTATTTGTTATTCCCTAGATTTAGAGCTTCTCTGGGATGAAAAATATGTAGATCTCCTGACTCAAAAGTTGTCACTGAGGTACTGTGTTATAAAAATATAGAAATTATTCCTTTGTATAATGCTACTGTTTCTTTTGAAAATTAGAAATCATGATATATAACTCTCATACAATGTTTGGGTTCATGATGAGTAGCAGGGTACTTCTTGAGTTGCTTATGTAGACGGTTTGTACTCTGTTATCATATTAGGAATGCAGAAAAGCAAGCCACTTCGATAGAAGATAATGCATCTCTAAAAAAGAAAATCGAAAGGTATCTATAAAAAGCAAATATGATACAGTACTGTACACTTGTACCATTTATTAGTACATACCATACTGGGAAGGGATTCAGTTATCTCCTTCAAAGAAGAAAGGCAGTTTTGTATGCTGATATACCTACACTTTCAACCTCTTGGAAGGGCTGTTATAATTTTAAATGCATCGACTTAGATGCTTTCAAATCATTTGTTAAGTATGAAGGTAGTGAGCCTTGTTCAGTAGACACACAAGACATTGACGAGCCTTACTCATTCGATAACATTGATTCTTGTAGTGATAGTGAAGAGAGCAATGCTTGATGTAAATTGTAGAGTAGAAGCATTGCCTATTGTTTATATTTTTTGTGAATAATTCATTTGCACCTACGATCAACAGTCATTATTATAGCAATATCTTTTTGAGTTTTCAACATATAACAAATATCGATGAAATAAAAAGAAGTAAAATAAACCTTTAATTTACCTTTAAACAATGTTAGTGTTCTTATACTGGATTTCAGATGCATATTTAACAATATTTTATGGTTCTATGAAAAGGACAACATACGGTTAGAGTGCGCTCAGTCCTTAGAACGGATATTAACATTTATTAAAATGCTAATCATAGAATTACTCCCTATTAATATACAATAAGCTAAGAGCCGTCATCCGTGAAACAAAAAATTAATCCTAAAAACTAGAAGGTGATAGTCAAAGAGAAACAAAAGAAAACAAAGGAATTAGTAATTTTTTAATAATAACTCTTAACCCAATATTTTATCATACAGTGCGCTCACTTTAGATCACGGATTTGACTGATTTTCAAAAACCCGTGAAGAGTTAGCTTGTCAAACACCTGAACCGCCCGCAACCGCCCGAACCTCGAGATTGCCTCGCGCGGGAACGCTTTTCCCCTACCTCCCCTACTAAGTGGAGTTTTGTCCCCAAACTTCCTCTATAGTTTGGAGATTAATACGCCAATCAGAATCCATTGTTTGCGCATATATTTTGTCGACTTTAGGGGGTACTAGAGGGGCATTATTCTATGCGTCTTCACAAAATGATCAAATTTGAAAATATGGCGTCCACGCGGCCGACCCTCAAAATTTTCAGGTCGGATTTTTTGTTCATTTGCGATCGAGTTTGACCTTGTGGAATTCAGAAAGTAAAGTAACAATGCTATAGAATACTCTGCTTGGAAAAGAATGGATATCCAATTCTTAAAAGTGGCAGAATAAGCTCCCGAGTCAACGACACTACGATTCTCTAAGGCGATGCGAATTAT